CAGAAAGTTTTCGATAAAACGAATGGTCACTGTAGAATTGAAAGAGTAAGTATACAGAGAAAAGGGATAATTGAATATATATGGATGTGTTTGTGATCGTAGAAATCCTGTGTATTTAGAAGTGGGGAAAGAGATGAAAGTTCCACGTTATTGACATTTAAACTATCATCCATATTCCCAATTTCAATGGACGTTCTTCTATTATACCAAGTATGTACTGACGTCGATTGTTCAATTTGTTTTAAACATTTTAAATATAGATACAATATTCTACACTGTTGATATGCCAGTAAACATCGTATTAGTTAAATGGTATTGGGTTTAACAGTTAAAAAAAACTACGTAATATTAAGTTATAAGTTTTCAATGTTTAAAGTTCGTTTTACTAAAAATAACATTTGATGAACACATCCTCTCCCCCCTGTATTTTTCAGGTGTCAAGTGTATTGATATGCAATCTTTTGTTAACTTTAGTATTTATTATCTTGGAAATAGAATATCTCTGACGTCTCAGTGATATCTGTGTGTAGATATTCAATTCTTCTCATTTCTTTTTGAATTACATACTTAAAAAATAAAAATAAAAATAAAAAAGTAAAAATAAAATTAGATACAAAACTATATTTCTACTAAAACTCAAGACAAACTGAAATGAAATAAAAAAGTTTATTGTACAATCATGAAACATTTTTGTTATCGTGTTTTGTATACTCTTGTATTTAGGTTGTAGCATATGAATGATCCGTTTTTTTTAGTTCATGAAGACTCCACCTTTAGAATTTCTTCACGTTCCCGATTTCATTCAAATGTCGTGATACTAATAATTACCCCCCAATCTCCTCGAAAGCTATATTAACATTACGTGCATCTTTTGCCGCAGAATGACTGTCTTCAAATTCATAAAGGAAAAATGACTCAAAAAATTTCGTGCGTATGCATTGTGCCGTTGCAAAGAAAATATTGAAGAACATCCAACATTACTTCAACCAAAAGATACACAAAACAAAGGAGTATAGATCGCCATTCAATTTTATATAATCCATACTGCAGTCACCAATATGTCTCTTGATACATTCTAGGTGAAGAATCTAAAGCATTCAAATGGACATTTCATATGTTACGACTAGACTGCGGATTTTTATGCATACGTAGATTTTCTTCAAATGGTTTACAAAAATTGCAATCCACGAAGAACTTGTTCACATTATCAAAGATTCATTAAGGTTCTAAGTAAAGTAAAAACTTCAATCATTTTTGTTATACATACGTCTTACGCCACTGATTTTCAGATAATGGTGCATGCTACAAATGCATAAAATCCACAGTCTATGTAGTTACCGAATGTAAATACAGATCGCAGTAAATAAACAGTAACATTTGAAGTAACCCAATTCTACAAGCGCTTCTTTCTTATTCCAGTGCGTAATTGCCAGGGAACACGGGGAAATTGTCATCAGAGAGTAACAGAAACCGGGCCAGAAGGTAAATTCCAAATCGGTTGGAACCGGACGGCCCGGTTCCACTGGCCTCCATCGGCTCAATCCAGAATTCCCGAGATTACTTTTTAGCGGGCAAAAGGAGGAAAGTGTAATTTCACGCGAGCGCCGTCATAATTTCACCGGCAGTCTTCCGGTCTCGCTCGATTTGACAAAACGACCGAGAATATCGAAAGGGGCGGCGAACGCGATCCCGCGACACCCTCCCCTCCACCCTTTCGTCCCGCTTCGACGATTTCCAAGGGGTTGTCGAGGTCGAATTCACTTGGACCACACGATCGATTCCGTTGAGATGCCCCAATGTGACCATTCGCTCGTTCGTTCCAATTATTCAAATGCACCCTTGCACCCGTTGCACCTGTTGCGCCACGCAGATGCAGGCGTCGACCCGCCACTGCGCCCGTGTACCGTTCCGCCTAGCGCTTTTTGAATAATTGCCCCCAGCCAGTCGGAAAGAATATTTTATGCATAACTCCGTGGGAATCAGATTCGACTGCCGGTCGATGCAACGCTGACAGGCAGATCGTTTCTTTTGTATACGATAAACTTGCGAGACTTCAAGGGGAAAATGTTGGGCATGCATTTTTTTCTGTTGATACAATGGTCTATTAAGTGTACGAATAAGTAATACATGTTTTGGCAAGTTTGTTTTTTTAGAACATCAAAAGCCAAAGACGTGTATGTGATATTTGTCCTCGTTTTTTAATCCTCCAACGATGGTGTCTCAGATTTCAGAAACTTCACGGACCATTTCAGCTGGTAGAAAATTATTCAACCATTGCCTTATAACATCAAGTCACACATGCGATGACAATTTCAAACTGCATTTAATAAACGTTCATACAATTTATTTTCTTTAAGTCAAAGTGAAATACTGATTCGCTGGTATATTAACATTTAAGATATAGAGTAAATGTTACACTTGCCATAAGAATAGAATTCCTTTTGTATCTGGGAAATTATTAATGAAAAAGTAACTCTTGATTGTGCAGTCGTCAAAAAATTGTAATACAAGGAATTAAAGTGTACAGTTGCTCATATTAGTATTTTATAAGAATTATAAAATTTATAAGTATATTTGATCATTAAAAACGTCCACCTTTCGAGACCTCTTACTTATCGACACTTTTCAAGAATACAAAGATGTTTTTAATCTAAAAGGACACAAACATGTTTTTAATCTAAATTACGTTACCAGGTTAATAAAAAAACATGGAGGACTACTTATTCGTACACCTAGTATGAGCTACGATCTTTTACTTAGGGATGATTTACGGATTAATCGTTAAGATATTTGGGGTATACTCTATACGACAGTTTGGAGCATCTTTGATTTTTTCCATGATTGAATCTATTCTACGTATAAGTATTTAATATATGTACAACAAATATTTCATTAATTTATATGAAAAAATTCTACGTTACAATTTACGATCAAGGTTGTAATTATGAATATAGAATATTTCTATACAATCTCTTCTTCTTACTCTTAAAGTTTCCAATTCGCCCTTCAAATTTTGTCCATATTTTATGATATGTCCTGTATACACGCAGCAAACTACCGAAGCTAATACTCTGGAGAATTTCAACATATCACCACCCATCCATGCCCTAGCTGCGTCCAATGTAGTTTAACTTTAGTCATCAGGCGGAAACTCGTGTTTTCTGCGTGATGGAGTCACCGCGGGGATTCAATGCAATCAAATGCAGAATACAGTTAGATTAGTCGGACTTCAGCGAAATTCTATATAAATCTAATAACAATAGGAATAAAATGTGTAAAAATTACAAAAAAAATGAAAGGAGGAAAGAATTATTAACGGTATCCTGACAGATTTTCCACTGTAGTCAATTAAACGTGTAAAATTGTTATTTAGTATAATAATTAGAAAAAAAAGGGCATAGATATTTTATATTCTAGATTAAAATATTTCAATACTTTACTGTCTCCCATGTAATATAATTTGTTACTTATAATAATTGAGTTTCTATGGGCTCCCTTGTTTTAGTGAACGCTATACACAAAAGTATATTTATCAGATATGTCAACTTCCATTTCAGTAGAAACAATTGAAATATTAGGTACCTATAAATTTCTAGAAGATGGGATACTTATGAAAGACAAATCAAGTTTTCTACATTTAAAGGAATGATCTTTTTCATGAACAGCTAACCCATAAGCGTATATAAGTTTACATCTATTAAATTTGTTGATAAACAAGAAATAATACTACTAAATATGAGAATCTTTCATTACTTGGAGAGTTGATAATTCAGCTAAGTATTTCCAACACACAAGCCACATATCGAACACACATTAAAGAGTCTGTATGTTACCGGATATTTTTTAAGTTAAACAATACGTACAATCAATTTTACTTAAAATTTAACGTGCATTGAATTTGTGCATTGATCATTACACTAGTCGACAAACGGGAACCTTTACTTATTTTTCAGCTAAAAATGATTTCTTCACAATTTTGACATTCCTATCATATATTAAACATGAATCAGACTTGTACTCGTATTATACATTGTGAGTAATGTTATGTATAAATATTTCAGCATTATAAATATAACTAATGAGTGATAAGTAGTGGAATTTACGAATGCTTTTATATTAATAGAACATTCTCATATATTTCTAGAATACGTATGACATACAAAATAAGACCACTATGATCACTGTCTGAAAATAACACGACACTAAATTCCTAATAATGCCATGAGAACCGAAAACAAAACTTTACATCACGATATATTCGATCTCCACTGAAATTACTACGTTACAAAGAAAATATAATCCGTCTAAACATTTATACATGTATTCGTATTTTAATGAATATTTAAATTTTCTTCAACAAAATGTATTCTATTCTTTGCTCTATATATTGACATCTAAACTTCGTCATGTATTTATGTTATTAATAAAGTTCAATGAGGTTTCCATATTCTTTGGAAACTGACAAAATTCTTAATGCTATACACAAATTTCTATTTCATTAGAATTTTCACAAATTAATCCCCCGAAACCTATATTCACATAAATATCAACAGTCTACTTATAGCAATGAAACCACTGATTCGACAAACTTAATTCTACACCATCGCTCAAGCATCCCCAATCACTCGGTTAACGAGAACAGAACACAAACACACATACTGAAAAATTTCCACTGAACACTTGAATTTTTATATACATCAGTGAACACACATAACCACAGGAAAAATGCTAGAACAATTATAAAATACGAAATCACGCACTCTTCTATTTCTTTTTCCTTCCTAAACTCCAACCATTGCAATCGACCAAGCACTGCCTGAACGGTACTCTATTCTCACTTGGACTTTTTTCTCTATAGAGTCCCAAGATTTCAAAAACATCGACAAACCACGAACAATTTCCAAGCTTTTTTTCGATTAAGCTCACGATCACGCTCGATTAACAGATGCCATCAAGCACAACCGTCTATCAAACTGTCATCGATGTACAAGAACAATTACCAGTAAGGTGGCATCCTGTGGTCTCATGTCCTCGGACTAATCCAGGGGTAGCGGTGCACTCGGCCGGATCACTTTTATTCAATCACGGCTATCGATACGTACACTGTACACACGAATTAACAAGGTGTTGTTCCCGAACGGAATCACGATCGCGGATACAACTCGTCGGAGAAGAGGTGGGGGAGGAAGGCGAAAGAAAGAGTTGGCTCGGGAGGCCCGAGGTACACTCGCGACTGTCTCGAGGTCTAGGCAACGACTGGCTGCTACCAGGATGGCCTGTTGCCGGCCTGGTCCCAAGCGCGTTCACCACAATAGAAACTGGTGGGAGATCAAAACGCTGACTGTGGTCGCTAATGCACGCGTATATACACCGCGCGTCGCTCGCGCGATATGTTCTTTCGTGCACGCGTGCTGAAAGCAGGCTCCGAGTCTTCTCGCCACCGCAGCCTGTGTCCACGCGGGAGAACGGAACCGTGACACACACGTGCGACCCGTGACTCCAAGTAGATCCCCACCTGGGAGGGCTGTTTAGTCAGTGTGGCCACCTCTGGTTGCCAAATCGCGTGAGTGGATACTAGAGATGGCGTGAACTGCTACTTGTGAATCACTCGTGATTCGATCACGTTCGTTCCCAATCACGGTGATTTTTCACAGTGATTCGTGATTTCTCGTGATCGTTTCTGATTGGTGGAGGAACCTAACAGTTCTTTACACGCGACACATAATCTGTATATTTTATATTAACGACATCAAAACAAAAATTCGAGTTATATCGTATAAAGTGAAGGAATAATTAGAAACAATGAAGAATGGTGAATAAATTAATGATTATAAATTATAATCTACATGTTACCTAGCAAATCATTCTTTTGGAATTTCTTGTTTTTCTGTTTAAAGATCAAGGACTTACGATCGCAGTGAGCAAATTCACTCAAGATAAAAAAATCGCAATCAAGGTCGTAAATGAAGTTAAATCACGACCGTGATTGTGATTCGGTGATCATTGTGATAAATCACCGTTAGTGATTTTGCACGCCATCTCTAGTGGATACCTCTCAGGTGGAGGAAGTTAGACTCGCGGTTGGACTCAGATCGTCGTTCTAACGATACAGTTGCGAAACTGGAATTTTTGCGAATCTGAGCTAACTGCATGGTTTTATTTGTAAATTATTCATTTTCTGTCTAACACGTATGACGCTCCAATTTCTAAGTGAGAATATTTTATTTCATGAAAGCAATATGTGTTTTGCAGTATTCCCCTATAATAACAGTCATTTGCTGCAACAAGGACATAACTAAAAATTTAAAGTTTTCCAGTTATTAGTATAGAATAAAAAAGGGTTGTTGTCTGTACGTTCTTTTGGTTGAAACCTGTAAGTGAGCTTCCAAAACTTACCACGTCAGGATAGTTACTGTAATATGATGTTCGCGCAAAATTATAGCGATTGAAATATTGAAACTCGTTTTCCCTAAAATCGTGATTTTTGAATTATGTCGTTATTTTAGCAAATTAGCGATACAAACTTCAAGGGGAAGATGTAGGGATCTAATTTTCTTCTGTTAATACGAAAATCTCTTTGATGTACGAATAAGTAGTCTATATTCTGTCAAGTTTAGCATTTATCTTCTAGGAAATCAGAAAAAAATATTTCATATTACTCACTATTTTTGTTTTATGTCCTTTTAATGTACATGGTGTTAAGAATCATCATTCTTTACAAAGTGGATGGGGCACTTTCACAGGGTGAATTCGACATGCCAAACTAAGACGAAAATCAAGATTCACGAAATTGCGTAGGTTATACTATTTACAACAGCCGACTCCCAGTTGATACAGGGGATCGATCGATGATCTAATTAAATGTATAAATAAAATGAAATAAAACGAGTGAAACCAATTCCTGAAACAGTTAAAGTGCACGCCTCTCAAGTAAAATAACCCGTCGCTAGTATTTGGTATTACTGAAGTTTTGCTACATTACGTACTGCTACTTAATCGTCGCTGAAAGATAAGATTTATCTTTGAATCTGCGTATTTGTTACTCGAGTTGATTTTAAGGAGAACCGGTAAATATAATTGAATTAAAATCACCAGCCTTGACTCAATGAATTACATAAATATACATATACAATCTTGAGAAACCAAAATCTAAAGAACAAACTTTATTCAAGAAATATGGATTACAATAAACAAAAAGAAATTAATTAACGAGTGTTACTTGCCAAATATGTGAGTGGTTGTAGTTGTATAACCAGTTAGTAATTTGGTTTTTCGAACGAATGGGACGGTGCGTGCAGTTAAATAAATCAGTTCGTGGAATGGCGAAAGGAGGTGTTGTTTTTAGCGGTACGCGTGGGTATTTGATGGTTTTCTTTCTTGCGAGAAAATTGTGCAAATCGTATTGACAGTGGTCGCGTACGTGTGAGGCTTTTATTATGATTGTACAATATGTTTCGAAAGTGTATGAACAGTATGAAAGACGACCCGGCCACAAAATTACTAAATAACGACTATTTGCTTCATAAAGTATCTGTAACTAGTTCATCAGTGTGTTATGTATCAAATAAATAAAGGTTCTAAAACATCGAGAAGACTATACATTTTTTTTCTTTTTTTTTATTAATAAGCATTTAAAACCCTTGCAGGTTTATTTAGCTATACCATTACAAACAAGAAAAGACATTATTCTTATATGCACAGATTACAGTCTTTGAGAAAAGAAAATATATATAAGCATGCTTTTATGTTTGGCGTGGTTGTAAACACGTCTACATTTAGCGGTAGTTGGAAGCCTAATTTGTGAAGCGCTTTTATTAGCTTGGGTCTATGTGAGTTATACCTTTCGCATTTCCAGATTACGTGATTGAGGTTTTCATACTCATAGTTACATTTGCATTTAACGTCATTTATAGTACCGACACGGTTGAGGGAGGCTACTAGATTGTAGTGATCGGCTTTGATTCTGTTTATTGTTACTATGAATTCTCTACTGAGGTTTTTGTGTGCAAACCATGGGGTTGAATTATTATTATAAAAACTTTGGAAGTATTTCTTGTCCTTGGTTAAGAAGACTATACATAATGTAGACTTATAGGTAACTGAAATGCTGTGGTACCTATTCACATGAATAGCAACTCTTATTTCTCAAATAAATAAACAGTGGCGAAAAGAGGAATTATTGAAATTTTATTATCCGAACTACCCTGTTATCTGAACTGTCCTTTACACCAGCATGTTCGGACAAACGAAATGAAAAATGCTTTATCATTTTCGCTGTCGTCAAAATCACAGCAAGACACGTTTAAAGTCAGGTTCACGCTATGTAACAAAAAACTGTCCTATAGCAAAGTTATAAACCTTAGAAAAAGAGAAATATATTATATAACATTTTTCGTATTATATAGCACGTTATATTATTATTTACCAAATTATTAAACGAAGTTAGAAAACATACAAACAAAAATTTGTTTTATATTGTTATACGTAACAATGTTTTGTTATGGCTTAACAATAGACAACTCCACGTTATAATGTGAACAGTGATTCCACTACAAGATTATTAAACAATCGCAATTATTACAAAGAAGACACTACATCTAACCGTACTATGTAGATCCGCCAATAACCCGTCCAATGGTATGAATTGTTCAATCAGCTAATACAACCTCCAGGTATATTTACAGGCAGCCACAATTGGAAATATCAACAGCAGCCTATTCTCCAATCAATGTTCAGAATCTCCTGGAACCATGCAATCCCCTCGGTATTCGCGTACAGACGTTTGCACGGTTCCCCGTTCTATGTACCCGAGGACGTCTCGTATCATGCGTAGAGAGAATAAGGGGACACAATATCCGTGCCAGGATGCCTGTGTGGCAGCGTTTAATTTACTTAACACGGATACGCAACGCAGCTCGGGGTATCCTCCACGCTCCAGTAATTACGCATGCAATTTCACTGCAAGGCCCTTAGGGCACGTCGAGGTCGAGCGATCTCACGGCGCCAACTCCCCGACAATTTCGCTTTTCGAATCGAGACCATCTTCGGTCCGGCACCGGCCGACCATGAAGGATCTGTGGTTCGAAGACTCGATCGATTTCAGCGCGACAAACGATCATAAGACAGAGTCATCGAACGTTCATTCGATTTTCTCGATTTCTTCAATTTATAGACTGAACTCGGGGTCTTTTCACTTCGCTACGTAATAGGGAGTAGCTGTTCAGGTCTTCGATCGAAAAATCGATAGAGATCGAAGAACGACTTTTCGTTTTATTGAAGAATTGATTACCAGTAATAAATTTGGTATGCTTTGTGTAATTTAATATTTTGTTTTTAGGCAACCAAGAGCCTTTGCTGCTTCTATAATATTCGTTGGGGATTAGAATGACCTAGAAAAGATCAGGAAGATGTTTTGAATTTAAATTATATTACCAGGTTCTTTGAAAGAATTGGTGGATTACTCATTGGTACATTTAATGTTGTGTCTACACTATATTTTTTAGAAAAATAATTTGTTATATAACACGTTATTATATTTGTTGTATAACATGTTACATAACATTTTTCGTACTATGTAGCAAGTTATGTGTTATCCATCAAGTGTGACGCCATTATTAATAATGAGATACGAAATGCTATACAAACTTGTTATAGACTTGCCGTAAAGGTATAATCTTGTAACAAGTTACGAAAACGTTTTGTATACCAAAACTATATAACAATTTGTTATATAGCTGTGTTCTGCTGTAATGTAGGTAAACGCAGCTTATATTTTTAGTAGTTTTCGAGTTCTATAGAATGACTTGAATGTTGGTGCCAAAGATATTCGTTTTTTTTTAGATTTTTAGGTTCAATAATTATTTTGACGCATTCCAATACTGTTTTGGTGATTACCAGTATCTCCAACTTGATATTACGCACAGACCATTTTCAAGAAATAAAGTGAAATTATTTGTTAATTATTAGGTTTACGGCTAATAAAGATTAGTACTTTTTTACTCAAAATTTAACGCTCATCGTTATTTTGTCATAAAAAATATAGCATTCCATTTAAAAAACGAAGTTGACCTTCAAATCTGCGAAATGCCTCCACTTATAAAAAATTATATGCATTACATAATGTATCCCTCCAAACCA